TTTTTTTTTTTTTTTTTTAACAATTATTCCGTATGCCGATATTCCGTGACGTGAAGACATATTTGTACAGGTACTTTTTAATGGCAAATACGTTTGACCCGTTTGTTACAATAATTACGGATGCTAGAAGCCCGACGTTGGTAATAACATGTTTTTGGCCGATCGAAATAACATGTTTGTGTTTTAAATGGTAATATTAACTTCAATGAATATCCGTCTAACAATATGCATATACTCTTCATACAGGTATTGCCCGAGTCAATCTACCATCAGTATACAAATCATGTCACCATAAATTGCACTATTGTTACTAGGGAGCACCGTACTTATGAAGTTTGGTTGGTGAAAGTCGTAGATCGATTGCAATTTGATGACGGTTGGGAATATTTTGTACGTGCGGAGGATATTCGCGGGGGCTACATCTTGTTCTTCGAGCGCCAAAGTCTATATGAATTTGTAGTGAAAGTGTTCACTTGTAACTTCGTTGAACGACCTCCGCAGTATCGCTTCTTTGTGGAAATGAAGAAAACGCACGTAGAACGGGCACGTTTGGTACGTTTGTCGACCCAAAAAAATTGTGCTAACATTTACAAAAATAAAAAAAAGAATTTCACTGTTTTACTATTGTAGGCCATTCCTATGAGTTTTTGGAGGGAGCATATAGAAGACCAAATTCATGATACTAGTAGGGCTATCTTGATGTGTAAAGGACGTCGTTACAATGTTCCAATAATCCAAGGCCATGGAAAGGCGTTGATGGAACATGGTGATTGCCGCGAATTTATGGACCGAAGTGGAATCGTCGAGGACTCGACATGCGTTTTCACTTTAATTGGATATGAGTGTGTTGTTTTCAAAGTAAAGCTATTGGATGCATGAGCATGTAAAATGGAGTGGAAATCAAATTTAGACAAATTCACGTTTCACGGGGGCCTATCACATGTTGTGAGATGGCTTCCAATAATCAGTGACGATTGTGTGATTACTATTTATAAAAATTTTACAAGTACTATATTGGGTTTGGTTTTGTTTCGTTTTCTAGTGAACAATATGAATAGCATCAGTTTGGGTTTTTATTTTTTTTTTGTTTTTTTTAAATATAACCAGTGTTGTCATGCATATTTTTTGTTACACTAATGCTATTTCAAGTCACCGTACATTACAACTTAAACTATTGTTTGGGGACAAAGGCTACAAATTTATGTCAATTAAGAACATCATTCAAAATTCATCAAAGAAACAAAGATACTAATAATGTAGGCCGAAATATCAATTTGCGTGTCCTCAGTAGAATGAACGGTGTGTTCGGGTTACATTAATACAAACGATGTTCGTTCTATCTTCGGTTCGCCCACATGGATTGCGCTATCGTGTCACGCAACACACAATGGTCACCAATGTTGGGGTTCGAGTTATAATTATTGGACATAAAAGCAAACGTACGATCTTGAGGATCATGTCGGCGTACGTATTCTGGGTTTCGGAATTCAGGCGGCATGTTTTCAAGCGGTTCATGAATCCGAATAAAGTTGTGTAGAACACAACATGCTATTACTATGTCGGTTTGCGAGTGAACTGTGTAGTTTGGCATCAGCCCCTTTATGATGGGGAACTTCCCTTTTAGCAAACCAAAGCTGCGTTCTATGACATTACGGACAGTGGCATGTCGTCTGTTAAACAACTCACGAGCATTGCCGGGCAACTGGTTAGACCCCAACCACTCTGGAAGATGATATCGTTCACCACGATATGGGGTCATGAAACCTGGGATATTGGCGTATCCAGAGTCCACCACATAGAATTTACCTACATTTTAAAATGTCCACCAGAACAAAAGAAACTTTTGATAAATTTCAATATTATTTAATTAATAGCATATTAATAGTGTGATAATGAGATTACCTGGAGGTGGAAAGGGAAAAGCATATCTGGGGTCGGACATAGTGTGATTAAATATACGTGCGTCATTTGCGCTGCCTTCCCAGCCGGCTAGGACGAAAGTGAACTTCAAGTCAAAATCACACGCCAACATGACATTTTGCGCCAGATAACCTTTCCTACATCTGTAAGAACCTTGCTGTCCTTCCGGCACCCACGCTGGTATAATAGTGCCGTCAATTGCGCCAATGCAATCCTAACATTAGAAATTACCATTTCAAATTTACAGTACAATGTTAGTTATAAAATATACAGTATTGGACAAATGAAGTGAAATATATTTACCTTGAAGTAGGGATATAAGTTACGATTATTTCTTATCCAAGGTGCCACACGGTTGAAGTCTGGGGGACGAATGTAGTCGGGGGCTAGATAACATAGAGCATTGATGACTTTGTGACAATGACGACTAATCGTCTCCCCCGAGTGTCTGAATGACTCAGCCGCACGTCGTTGCCTTTGATGACCTTTTATTGTATGAAGAAAAATGGCTACGCTTTCTTCAATGCCTATTTTTTGTTGTCTTGTTTCTTCGTGGAATCCCGCTCTCTTGATTTCATCACAAAGGATGGTAAAATGACATTGATTTATGCCCATTGCATCTTTAAAGCGACGAGGATTTCCGGCTAATAGTTCATTTACCCAGTCCAAACCCGTGTAGGTGGATTCTCGGTAGGGGGTTCTCCTTAAAGGGGGAAATACGGACGACGAACTTTCAAAAATGTTTACAAGTTGTTGAAATTGAGCACCCACCATTAAGGATGTCTCCATAGGATCATACTCTTCCACCGGCTCCAAATCACTATCAATGTCTTCAGGCAAATCATCGATATCTTCCTCATACGTGTCACTATCGTCAACATAAGACATCCTACAATTAAAATGTATAATAAATACACGAATACTAATATCCACAAACAAATTATAACATAAGCATGCAGTAGGCAATATAGCTTGGAAACAAAGTTACACATAGTACACTCGTACAATCAATGAAGATAGACAAGCCCAACAACAAATAAAGAGCAATGAAAAACTTGTCGCCATCCCCCTTCACGCATCACCGGGGCCCTCATCCAACCACATTTTAATAATAGTACGGCGTCTGTCGTCACTATTAATCGCCGCAAACATTGCTCGATTGGTGGGATCCCGCAATTTCTTGCAAACAAACTGGAAAAGATCTTCGTCCATATCAGGCATTGCTTGAAGGTCGCGCATAGCTTGTTCCATTGTCGTTAGCTTTGGAGGTCTATTGTTTCTTTCTCTAAGGGACGCATTCAAGTCTGACCAGGAATACATGGCCGTGTCGAAACTAGACTCTGTGCCTCTCCTCGGACGAACGTACCGCCTCTGCCTACCTTGCCGTGCATGAGATGTCGGGGTAACCATCGGTTCGTCTTCTTCCTCAGCGACGAAGTCCTGGCTCACATGTGCGGACGGCTGACCACCGAAGCTTCGTCCCTCGGCCACCCGTTGGGTTGATGCCCTCGCATTTGACCCCGTAGCAGTAGTGCCGTGGAAAATAGTAGTCAGTTCTTCATAATGCACACACACCTTACCCTCCATGTCATGGTCCCTTCGATTTGCCTATGCAAGTGACATTAAATAACAAGAGGAGCATAACACAGCAACATTATGAAAACGAATAGAGAAAACGCAAACATGGACTAATCCTTCCAACAACATACAAGTACAGGCCGCATTAAACTCAGACACAAAATTCTCCTGAAAACAGCAATATGATATGAAACAATTATCAAATAAGCACGAGGATGAAACAAAAACTTACGGTTGTCCATTGCGCCCAAAATTCAGGGGGTCCTTCAATAGTTTTTTTATCTTCATTCCATCCTAAGCCGGTGGCGTTGGTGACTATGTTGTGAAACCGTCTCCAATACACTTTCATACGTTGGTACTTGCTCTGTAGCTGAGCAACTTTGTAAGGATAGTAAATAGGACACCTCTCTGTCAACCTCCCAAGAATGGTCCCCCATTGATTAGGTGTGAACTTACCGGCTACACGGTTTCCTAACTGGACTTCTTCCAACAAAACACCCACAAATGCGGCTTCATTTTCGGGAGGCCATTTTGCGTCTCCTTGACTATTATCGGTTGAAGTACCAATACCACCGGTATATGACATCTACAAGTATGACATATAACAAACCAACTACAATGTGGTATGGCACTCTTGACATGTTAAAATAAATATAAAAATTCGAAAGAAATGAGAGGATTACGTATATAAATTCTACATTGTACACATTAAAAATAACAGGTAAAATCCAAAGCAGTCTACACTTGGAATTGAACTTTGAAAATTACCAACATATGTAATTAAAATGTAATGTCTACAACCAAGTGGAGAGACGATTACCCTATCAATTTTTTTGTTTCCAACGATATCCCTAAAACAGAATGAATGAACATTTCAATATCGGTTCCTCCTGTTACCATCTGCACATAGGATCCCCAATTTCATAACCCACATAAATCCCGAATATATTCTACAGGCTCTACAAATTGCTATGGTCCGTTCAAAGTGCGGCCGAGTTGTAAAGCCAAATTGTTTTAAACAAGCATAAATAAGCATAATTTTTTCGGACGCAAAAAGGAGGGCATAAACTACCTTTGTTGGCCGGAGTCTTTTCTTTTTCGGAGATGTGACGGAGACGCTGCCGGTGCTCTCGGTACTTTCTTCAGGGCGGCGATCCAGCCGTGCTTCACCGTCGTTTCTTTCTGTTGCCGGAAGTGAACTCTTTGGGGAGACCTCCATACGCAGAGGAGGTGGTTGAGGACTTTTTATTGAGGCAATTTTGTGAGGCGAAGACAAGATGGGGAATCATACAGCTATTTCGATTTGAAATGTGAAGAAACCGGTCAAAAAGGAAGGGGAAGGAAATGAATTGCTGCAGCCTGCAGACCTCGAAATTGGGCAAAAAAAAAAAAAAAAGGAAACTGAATTGAATTTGCAGCAGGCGTGTTGGTGGAGGATGTCGGGTCTTTTAAGTGGGCCCAGAGTAAATACTCAATTGGTATCCAATCACAAGCCCAACAGTGTTTTGGGTAAAAAATCAGTTTTTTTCTAGTCCAATTGGTATCCAATCGCCCCCTATATGTATCTTCAAAATAGTTTCAGAAACTTGCAATTATTCTTCACTTGATTATTTGTAACGGAGAGTAGTTCCTTAATTGAACTCAATCGGCACTCGGCAGGGACTCGAGTAAAAGGGTAAACGGGATAAGCTTAGCCATGGCGGATGGGGTCGAACAAGATAAATCATTGCAGTCCATACGCTACAAGCGGGGTTCTCTTCAGTTGCTCGACCAGGTTAATTTTTTTGTCATTTTACATCACTCCCTAAGCTTCTTCTCCTTCTTCTGTTTACTGTTTAGTGATTTCTGGTTTGATCTGTGATTTGAGGATTTCTTCTCAGCGATTGAATATGAAATTGTTTCAATTTCAATTTTTATATTTTCTTATGTTNGAACATTTTATGCGAAATGAATTTTTGATTTTTGGTTCTTTCATGTTTTCCTTGTGCAGCGAAAGCTTCCTCTTGAGACCATTTACTTGGAAATCAGAAAATCTGAAGACGGATGGTAAGAAGATTCGTTTCTTTTGTTACTTTAGTTTTTTGTGCTGGGCCTGGTATTGCTGCTGTTACATGTCAAGTTCAAATTTTAATTGAGAATGTTTACACGGGTCACGGCCATGGATTGCAGTTGTTAAGTTACTATTTGTTGGAGAATGACGATGACATGTTTGCCATTTGCAAATCGTGCGGTCGGTTTTGTGACTCATACTCGAGAGTCAAGCTTATAATAAATAACTTTAGTGCTTTGTAATTACAAATTATTGTACGAGGAGAATAGATCGGGCGGGTTGACCACCCGTCATACTTCTTCTTCAATGAAAATGCTTACTAGTGTTGTGAAAAGTCATAATATTGTTTATATTGTTTTTTATATTTCAGTTTGAAATTATGCATATTTATTGAAAAGGATGGATTGTCTAACCGTAGACAATTACGCCTACCTAATATCAGCCTTACTATTTGTAAATTGGCGAACTTTCCTTATCAACAATTTAGTTAGAACTCATATGCCATTCAATCAAAAAGGGGAAGTCATGTTTGTTAAATTGATATACTCTAAGACTTGAAACACAATGTGGCTGTCTATGAAATGCAATCCAAAATTCGTTAGAATTGTAAGAAAAAAATCTTTTTTTTTTTTGGTTCTGTCATTGTGGTAACAGGGTTGCAATAAAGGATATGGTTGTTCGTGGTGCACCAGCTATCGCCATAGCTGCTGCTCTCTCATTGGCAGTGGAAGTTTCGAATTTGGAAGCATTTAGCGGGACAGCTATTGATGCTGCATATTTCCTCAGCAAGAAATTGGATTATCTTGTCTCAAGGTGATCAAAATGTTTCAGTTGATGTAGTCGATATTAAAATGTTTGTCACTTGGCATTTGAGCTAAATATGAAATTCTTAATCCTGATTGCAAAGCCGCCCGACAGCTGTCAATCTCTCAGATGCTGCAACTAAACTCAAGGAAATCGTGCATGAGGCTGCAACCACTGCTTCTGAACCTCAGGCCGTGTTTCAGGTGTGACTATATTATTTTACTTTTTATATTGGTTATGGCAATAGTTCTTTACAAAGTTTGTGTTTTTCATCTACAGGCTTATATTGAAGCTGCTGAAGTTATGCTCGAAGATGATGTTGCTTCTAACAAGGCAATTGGACACTATGGCGCTATTTTCCTTCAGAAGCAGCAGGGAAACCCCAAAACCTTGTCTGTTTTGACCCATTGTAACACGGGCAGGTATACTTTGACCAGGATCTAATTTTTTTCCCCCAATACACTATTTTTAAGTGCCTTACAAATGAATGGAGGTTGTTGATTTGTAGTTATTATTGAACTGATTTGCTTGATTTTAAAGATGCTATAACTGTGTCATTTGTTACCTTACTTGACCAGCTTGGCAACAGCTGGATATGGAACTGCTCTAGGAGTGATTCGTGCTCTCCACGAAGAAGGTGTTCTCGAGAGAGCTTACTGTACAGAAACACGCCCGTTTAATCAAGTGAGAATAGTAACTCTTGTGCTGTAAATATTTGACGCCATCAACAAATTCTACTTGCATGTTGTAACTTATGAAATAGCAGCTGCAACTGCAGATTAATTCACACCAGGGAAGTTATCATATTAAAAGATTTAAGTTTAAATAACAGGGCTGGGCTGCATTATCGGCTTTGATTGAATGATGAATATTGGTCATCATGCACGTTTAGTAATGCATAATAAAGTACTACAACAACAACAACAACATACCCAGTATATTCCCAAGGGGTCTGGGGGGTCAGTGGTACACAGACTTTACCCTTGTAATTATACAAGGAGGCTGTTTCCGTAGCGACCCAAGGTGCATTGCGCCGTTTGATATATTTTTTTTTTTATAGAAACTTCACTAATAGAAAAAGCACTAGAATTTAATTGAGCCATTTTGATCTAATCCATTATTAGCACTCTGCCAGGAGAATTGTCAACAATGACTCTTCCAGCTCCATTTGCAATGGACAACTAATGCATAATAAAGTAACATACAAAAACTACAACTAGTCCAAGAAAAGCATGTTTTACTGCAAAATTACACATTCGTGTTTTTTTTTTTCAGGGGTCAAGACTCACAGCCTTCGAGCTGGTGCACGAAAACATTCCGGCCACCCTAATAGCCGACTCAGCTGCTGCGGCCCTTATGAAAGCCGGGCGAGTGAGTGCCGTCATTGTCGGTGCCGACCGTGTGGCGGCTAACGGTACACTCAAAAAAAATCCATACCTCTAAAAAACCTCATTTTTCCCAGTTAAATGGCACCGTTTAGTTTTAGGTGCTAACGATTGAAAGTTTTAAACGGAATGTGCACATTTTTAGGTGATACCGCTAACAAGATAGGGACCTACAGCCTTGCTCTGTCGGCAAAACACCACGGAATCCCGTTTTTTGTGGCGGCCCCACTTACGTCCGTTGACCTGTCCCTTTCTTCTGGTCAAGAGATTGTTATTGAGGAAAGATCGGCTAATGAGCTACTGAATGCTCGTGGAGGATTGGGCGAACGGGTGGCGGCTCCCGGAATTTCTGTTTGGAATCCGGCATTTGATGTCACGCCTGCTGATGTCATCAGCGGTATTATTACCGAGAAGGTTGCTCTCTCTCTCTCTCTCTCTCTCTCTCTTTCTCACACACACTCACACTAAGGTTATGTTTGGCAACCAAATAAACTATAAGTTAGCGTATAAGCTTTCTATATTCAATATTCATATAAACTTCGTTTGGTAGGACGAACGTTTTTTAAAAACTCAGAGCTTATCTCAATATCTTTTTTGGGTAGTTTTTCAAATAAACTCGTTGAAATTTTTATTTCAGCTAATTTTATCAAAAACTTTTATCATATAAGCTAGCTAACTTTTCAACTACAAGTCATAAGTTCAAAAATCACTCATAATCTATAAGCTAGTTTATCAGCATAGCCTAATAGAAATTATGTATACCAGGGCGTGATTACGAAAAACGGCACGGACGCATTCGATATCAAAAGATTCACGCAGAAGGTGGCAAGCAATTATCCATGATGAGGAAAAGATTTAAATAATTCGCGAGGCGGCTTTTAATGCCTTTGTTTGGCCTTTTTACATTGTATGGTGCTTTGTAACAACGGTTGGGTGTTAGTCTTGTTTGAACTTTTAATGTGGTATGGTGCTTTGTAATAATGGTTGGGCGCTGGTCTCAGTATGAATCAAAGAGGACTCGATTTATCTGCTTCTGTTCAGTGTGTGATGACTGATGAGTGGTGAACAGCTTGCCATAGCCGATTTTCTGCAAGTTAGTGGGAATTCTAGCGAAGTATCTATCGACTATCTATCTAGAGATATAGAGACGTTTGTATTTACCTGAAATAGTATAATTTTCTCCACGAAAAATATATTTTGTTACTAAATAAGGACATAATTTTAAACATTATCGTTTACCTTTTTTTTTAAAAAAAAAAAAATATTTTGGTATTTTTTCTTTACCATAAGTTATACTTTTATTTTGTGTTAGGTGATGTGATATCAATAATTGATCTACATATATTGATTAAACTTTTTAAAAAATTTCAATCAACTATTTTTTTTTACCTAATCTATTTTATTTATTTCAATGTAGTGATTTCCACAATTTGAGATTAATTTTTTCAAAAAATTTATAATCAATTGTTTTGTTTCTATCTACTCTATAGTTTTAATGATTTTGAAAATATAATTAACGGATATGATTATAGGTTAATAAATTAATGAATTTGAAAAATAAACTTTTCGAAAAATTTGCAATCAATTACTCTGTTTTCGGAAATAACTAGATGAAGAAATTTACTAACAATAATTTTGTCAATTTAGTTTCAATATCGTTGTCTACCTTTTGTTTTCTTTCTCAAATTTCTTATTAAATATTAACGTCATTTTTTTTTCAAAAACTTAATAATATTTTGTTTTGTTTTGTTTTTTTATCTATTTTTAGATATAATATTAAACTGACATTCAATTAAGATTTTTGATTTGACACTCATACTGTATGTATATATAAAAAATTATTTTTCAAGTTTTAATAAGTTTATTAGTTAATATCGCATATAGAACTTAATTTATTATTTAATATTGATTTAAAAATTATTAACTAGAAGCAAGTTATTCATATAATTCAATTAATGTATATATAATAAAATATACCATTATGGAATAATTTAAAATAGTGATTAACGGGTTAATTAGGAGTGGACCATGCTGAGGCACGATTGATTAAACACGTTTGTGAGTACAAGCGCTCCCGTATCACAAGTATAGAGTTGGCCTTCTGCCTATGGAAAAAGATTGTCTTAGTGACCTTTTCCTAGTCGAACTGCCATATATATATATATATATATATATATATATTATTAGATTTTAAAGAATCAAAATATTTATAATATGTACTGTTATAACTTATAAGTTATGATAAACGAAAGAGTCATCTGTCGATTTGTCATGTGAAATATATGATTAGAAAGAAAATTAAAATATTTATAATATATATTGTTATAAATCATCATGACAAACCAATGGATCATGTGTTGAACTATCCTTGTAAATGCATATAAAATATTTATTATATATATTATCATAATTAAATAGATGAGTCAACTGTAGAACAACCATATTAGTTGTTAGCTTAGAAAAAAAATTAAATCTTTTATGATATATTGTTATAACTTATAATGATAAATCAACCGATGTTGAGCTACCATATAAATTATTAGATTATAAAGAAAATTCAAATATTTAGAATATATATTATAAATTATACAAAAATAAAATAGCTTTAACGTAATTAACAATTAGCAAAATTAATATAGGTAAAATAATATTCACCACTCTTTTTAAATTAAACGTTAGTTATAATGTGTGACATAATATTATAACTTTATCATCACTTATTTAAGAATCAAAATAACTTGGCGTAACAAGATATGAGTAAGAGAAAAATAGAAGTATTTTTGTAAATATCATTTAGCGATAATATTTGAATATTTTTTTTTCTGTCAACTGGGAGGTATCCCACGTTCATTTGGGATATCGACGCCGAGCTCCAGCCATCATCTGGCCCACCCAGGAAGACCGACCAGCGGTCGGGGGAATGGGTCCATAAGGGTCAAGCCTAATAGGCCAGCTTTCCACCACAAGAAAATAGGACTAATCCTCCAAGGGAGAGTGCAATGCCGCACTCACACTCCCCACGATAGTCAGGATCGAACTCCTGACCTTTGGCATCAACAAGGCTTTACCTCTCTACCATCAGCCAGTTGTACCTCTCTACCATCAGCCAGTTGCCCTCACGCCCTGGGGGCTTGAATATGTTGAATTTTCATATTTCTTCGTTTTCTAACAGAAACACTAAAATGGCAGTTATTATATGTCATAAAAAATAAAAAAAAATTAAAAATAATATTAATACTCAAAATTAGTTTTAAGCTAATCGATATTCTTTTCCTTTTTAATTTATGCGATTTATAGTTATTGCCCCGTGTATCGCACGCATTACATAGTAGTTCAATTTAATAGAAATTAAAAGTATTATCAAGAGTAAAATTTGATAGAGTAGTTAATTTTTATAAATGTCTCGCAATGATTGATTTATATTTTTAAATTGTAATGATAAGATTACGAACAAAAATATTGAAATACATGATAATATCCAATAACAATTCAAATAAAAAATTATTTGACGAGACAAAATCGAATTTAATTTGTATTCAAAAGCTCGATATTATCCCTCCATGTATTGTTTTCTTAACTTTTTCATTCAAATTTTAGAACAAAAACAAATTTTATTTATTTCTTTAAACTATTCATAAAATTTAACATCAATAGGATTGCACGGGAATGAGGCACATGTCAAAATCACAAAATACGAGTACCACGAACTTGCGTAAGTGAATTCCCTCCTCTTATCCATGATATTGACCTTTCATGACCAGAAAATTCTGGTGGGATTGCATTTTAAAAGAAAAAAAATTGACATAATGACATCTCATCCACATGTTTGAAAATTGAAATCCTTTTAATTTCAAAAATATGAATGGTTTGGAATGAAAAAAATAAAAATATGATATTGTAAATTTAATTTCACAGTTACAAAGTTGATCCTAAAAATTATATTAATTTTTAATTAAGTCGCAGTATTACTTCCTTGGCCTTTTACATTTTATAAAAATTTTTATATGATCGTTAGTGATTAACTTGAAAAATGCGAAACTCGCAAAATTGGTCATATGCCAAGTGACGAATTCGGTCCTATCTTATGCAAGATTGGTTTTAAATATTTTTTGTCACATGATTAGTCAATTATGGCAGTCGGCAGATTTCACAAAATTTTCTTATTTTGGGATGATATATTTTAAATATTATCTTCATTTTAGTTATTTAATCTATTACTATATAAAACGGAGAAGAAAAAATATTTGAACAATCCGAAAATAATCTTTTCATTTTCCCGCTCATATATTACGTTTTTCCCGCTTAAACAAATTTTTAGATTGTTTGAAATTGTAATTTTGAAATAATCTGATATTTTTGTTAATGTGATCTAGCTAAATTTAAGGAAATATTGACTACAGAATTCCTTGATTATCTCTTCCAAAAAACTCTCTCTCTCTCGGCTTCCTCACACTATTTAATTTCTCTCCTTCCTTCTCTCGATGGGGAACAAATGGACCCAAGAGAAGGGTGGTCTAAAAACAAAAAAACAGTGAGGGGATATTTCTAACAGGAATGAAAAGAAAAAAAAAAAAAGTGGAGAAATATATACAGAATACTCACCCATGGCTAACAAATGAAGGAGAGGATAGCCGGGAGGATCGGATCTGGTCGGAGAAGGATGCCGTGGCCGGAATCGTGAAGGGAGGCGTCGGAATTTGATTGCCGGAGCCAAGATCATACACGGCAAGCTGTTCAGGCCCAAAAAATCTCGATCCGTTTCCAAATCCGAAGCTGATCCACCGTCTTTCAGCTCCTAGGCGACGTCTTCCTCGGCTTCTTCCGAGGACGTATACAAAAAGAAGGCGGCGGCGGCCGGGCCACGCCGACCACCGTCCTCCCCTCCGGATCCGCCGACGAGTGGTCCGAGATCTCCGCCGACGTGTACCTCGAGCTCAAGCAGGCGTTCGAGATGATCGACACGGACAACGGGAAGATCCGGAAAGAGGAGCTGCTGTGCGGTTTAGGTGCAGAGCCGTCTGGCAGGGTCCTAAAATTTACCTTTGTACATATATAGTGTGCGTGTGTGTTGTGTGAGTGAAATTGAATGTGAACAAGATTTTTTAGATCACAATTTTTGCCCAATTTTGATGGTTTAGACATTTTTTGATGGGTAATAAAGAGGGAAAAAAGGAGGAAGATGACAGTAATGATGAAATTGTTTGATTTTGAACTTCATTCATAGTCCACATTTTTTCTTTTCCATTTCTTTTCTTTTTTCACTATTTATTTAATTCCTGATTTGCTTTACAAATGTTTAAAGTTGGGCTGGTAATGATATCTTTCTCTTTTGATAAATTGAATTAGCACAATTTGCCTGTTGATTGCTTTCCTTTGTTGTTCTATGATATCCTCGGTTTTTTAAACAATTGGGTCCATTCACTATGATATCCTCGGTTGTATATGTATACTGATCCGTTTAAAAAATAATTTTTTCCCTATGTTAGTATTGTTTAGTATTGTTGGTTATTTCTGTATTTTTTTATTTTTTGGTTATTTATGTTCTGAAGTTAATGTAGTGGTGAAGAATAATGTAATAATCATTTGTTAAAATTGATATAAACGGGTCAACGATCTAATATGTTGTTAAAATAAAGTTTTGAAAAAATGTTCTAAGGTACGAAACTTCACGGGATTCTCACTATTATTATGTATCTCACGGGATTCTCACTATTATTATGGATATATACTTACCAAAATATTAAACACTTTATAAACTTTATGAAAACGAATTTGAATTATCCCGCCTTATAGTTTATTTGAAATTTCACATTATATTGTTAAATATATTAATAAAAAAATATTATTTATTATTTCCTTATTTGATATAATTTAAATTTGGTTATTAGACTTTTAAATTCAAACATTTAAAGGAAAAGTATCACAAGCATATTTTTTGGATACATTTCATTTTATCTTAACTACAATATAATCATATCTATTACTATATAATACAGTTTAGAAAAATAGAAAAAAAATCCGAAAGTAGAAAGACTTTTCCTGCCTTTTTCTATTTTTTTTTTTTACATTTTTTTTTAATTCCCACCTATGCCAATTAATTGTGCGGATTAACTTTTTCTAATCTTTTGAAATTGGATGTGAATGCAATTCGATTTTAATTCTTTTTTTTATTTTTTTTTTCTGTTAACCAGAATTAGTTCAAATCCAACGAAATA